TTTACCCGTGGAGCTTTTAGACTCCAGGGAGCCAATAAATGCCAGGGCTAAGAGGTTTTATGCTCTGATTTGAAAAATAAATAAATAAAAATACAATAATTGCCATGGAGAGGCTGGAACACAAAAGAGCACAGCTATCTCAATTTACATTGTAAGCACCGTCAGCGCAGCCCAGAACAATAGTATCGGGGAAAGAGTCCTGCTCTCTCCAAAAGACAGATTAATTCAATCTGCAGGAAAACACTTCAAACTGAGAAAGCGATACTCTCGGAATTGTAGCAGGCTCCAAAAACCTCAATGCCAAGCCACAAGCCCAACCAGTGCCCTTGGGGAGGAAAAAAACAAAAAGGAAAGAAAGAGATGTTAAGATGTAAGCAAACGTTGCCAGTTTAAATCTCACTGGTCAGCTGGATCTGATAAAGGCAATTTTATGCCTTGGTTCAGTAGATGCACATTTTGAAAGCAAAAAGAGCTACACAATTAAAAATAGATAAAATAGATAAGAGTCATGGGTAAAAATCCCAAGTCTTTGGATTTGTGGAGGAGCCTGTGCAGGCCACCAGAGGAATTTTTGGAATTCCTACTTGCAGCAAATGCCCCCAAGCTCCAAGATTTCACCTGCGCCCACCGCAGCTCGCAGGGCTCCCACCAGCAGCTCTCACCTCCGAGTCACAAACACAACCTGAGACACATCAGACACACCTTCAACAAGTTATTTTTTCTCTTGTTAATTCCTTAAAAGAATTGCACAGCCCAAATTAACAAAGGAGTTTTAGTTTTCACTGGTTAGCAAAAAGAGCTACACAATTAAAAGTAGATAAAATAGATAAGAGTCATGGGTAAAAATCCCAAGTCTTTGGATTTGTGGAGGAGCCTGTGCAGGCCACCAGAGGAATTTTTGGAATTCCTACTTGCAGCAAATGCCCCCAAGCTCCAAGATTTCACCTGCGCCCACCGAAGCTCGCAGGGCTCCCACCAGCAGCTCTCACCTCCGAGTCACAAACACAACCTGAGACACATCAGACACACCTTCAACATGTTGGGTTTTTTCCTGTTAATTCCTTAAAAGAATTGCACAGCCCAAATTAACAAAAGAGTTTTAGTTTTCACTGGTTAGAACTGTATCATCCTGCAGCGAAATTACTACCATAAATTACATACAGCAAAAGTTTTCCAAGTATGAAATACAAAATACATGAAATTAAACTCACTGACGTGGTGTGGAGGGTACCATCCAGCAGTGGGATTATCTCTGCTACAGGGAGAAGCATTTTTATAAGCATTCCTAAAAGCAGCTGTGGGCTTTTTCCCCAAAGGATTTCCAGTTTGAGATTTACATTCCTTACATTTACGTTTATGATTTGCATTTTTTCTGACACAAGAAACACGAATTGTATCAAGCCACAGGAAAAAGGAACATGAGGCTGCAAATGCCAAACACTAAAATAAGACCTCCTTAACCACTCACAAGCAGCTTGGATAGAGGGATGGCAAAAGAGAAAGGCGTCATTATGAAAGAATTAGTGTCATTCTTTCCTGCTACACTATTTGCATTTTTTATGTACACCAAACCAGCTCCTTCAAGGGAGGGGCCTCGTTCACTCTAACCCTCAGGCTTCATTCCACAGCTGATCAATTTTATTATTTTTTTTCTCCTCCTGGTGTAACTTTCCAGCGAAACTTAAACATGTTTGCTCCATGGGAACACAGAGATGTCACCGAGCTGATAATTGAAGCACTCAACTATCAACAGAATTATTCATAATATTCATTAACATGATTGTCGAAGGCAAGCGCTTTGATCTTGTTGAAACAAAACTCGCATTATTGGGATTGGTTTGCTTCCAGCATATTTTTTTCCTCCTCAAAAAATTCACAAGGAATTTCGCTATTTCATCCTGGGTCAGGAGGAAAGGAAGCTTAAGTGTCAGAAATTCCCACAGAAACAAAAATCTGATGTTATGACCAGGTCAGGCTCTTCTCTAGTATCCAGTCATTCATTTATTTTTATTTCTTTCAAGTCATCATTTGCCTTCGGAGAAACGAAAGTGCTTCCTGCTGCTGAGCTGAACTTGCTGACCTTGGTTGAGCTTAGTTGTTCCCCGACTCTCGTGGAAGGTTCCAGCCTTGGTCCTTTCACGTGTTCAAAGAAAGAATTTGTAAAGAGGGAACTTTGCACATCTCGCAACGCCGCTTTCGCGGGATACGCGGAGAGAGGGATTTCATCATTGAAATGTTGCATGTATAAACCACCAGTAGACAGTTCAGGCCAGGGGAACGTGTACAAATCACAAAATAAATCCTCTGAAATCCGTACAAATAAGAGACCTTAAAACTACTTATCAACTAAACATTATTCTGCAGAAAAAAAATAAATACATGAACAGATACCTATTAGTGATGAGCCTTAATAAAAAAAAACAACAAAAGCCAAATCCTGGCACCTTTGTGGAAGAGAAAAACAAGCAGCTTTCTGCTAGGCTGGCAGAAACACTTGGAATATAAGTGCATTGCTCTAATGTAACAGCTATTTGCAGCCTCTCCCGGAACATAATCTAAATCTCCGTGCAATTACAACTCCAGAGTGCTACATCTTGGCCCCATTACGGAAAAAAACTGTAGGATTTCACTGCGTAAAGTTTGCTCTTTTGAGCATTTCAGAAGCCACTCCCTGCCTTTCATCAGCTGCCACAGGGGATGAATTATTTACACCTTGCTAGAAAGATAACAGCAGGCATGAAGAGCACTGGGAGACTTAGAAGGGAAAACAAAAAGCAACTTCAGGTTTTAAACACGAGTCCTGTATTTTAGGTGTAAGAGGGCTTATTGCCTTCTGAAGGGGGAGAAGAGCTACCTATAAAAAAAACCTGTGCATTGCTATGAGTTCTGCCTCCAAATCCAGGTGTAGATACACCAAAGGAGTCTGCAGCCCTCAGCACTACATGACACAACGGGCACATCTGCCTCCCACACAGCTGGAAAGCCCTGTCCCTTACACCCCTGGCTTGACCCTCTGCTGTGCCTCCACCAGCAGGACAGGGCACTGAAGACCTTATGAACAGATTATGGTTCTTTCCCATTAAATATGGGACTGAAAAAGTTCAACATGTACAAGGATGTTTGCTAAGGTGGCAAGACTAGGTGCCAGCTCTGCTCTTCAGCTAGAGGTGGCACAAGGACTGGAAAGGCACCACAAGATCCACAGGAAGAGAACACTTCTGAGGGAAAGGGGAGTTGGAGAGGAATCAGACTCAGGATAGGAAAATGGCACACAGGGAAGAAAAGGACAAACAAGTCTCACAGGTTCTAAACATACTCTCCAAAACACGTCGTACTTAACAGTCTACAATAATAATATTAATTCTTCTTAATTTCTGGAAAGAAAAGTGAAGGCTGTAGGAACATGTATGAAATAAAAGACCAGAAGAGTACTAGTGAGGGGGGGAAAAAAAAAAAAAGAAAAAACAAACCCAAAACCCACCCAACATCCTTTTCCACAGACGTATGGTCCATCCACGCCAAGGACTGTTTCCAACATACCTGTGTTGATGCAGCTTGTGACAGCAGTGACTACAACAGACATCTCTGGGCACACCTGTATCAGCTAAAACAACTTCTTTCTTCTGTGCTCCCAGACTTCCCTACGCTGACCCTAAGCTTGAACAACCGCTCCCAAGACTTCCAGTTCAGCCCAGTTTGGGCTGGGTTGGGGCAATCAGTTAAACATACGCTCTGCCACCCGGTTCAACCGAAGCAGACTAGGGAGCATCCACGTGAGCAGTGTGACCAGCAGACCTTTGGTTAAGGCAACGTTGCAAGTGACTTTTATCATCAGACACGCTGATTTCCTTCTGATTAATCTACCCACTGTTCAGCACAATCTGTTTGAAAACCACTTTACACACTGATGATAAATCCGTGAGGTCTGTGCAGTCCACCTCCAAGCCTATGAACTTGCTGTTTTAAAAACCTGTCTAGTTCAAGCCAAGAATTTTATCTAAACTATTGATTCCAAGGACTTAACAGTCAAAGGATTTACTCACGCTGATTGTCATTATTCCAAAGAACACTATTTTAAGATAACCGTTTACATCGTTATTACATAAAGATGTAATAAACACCCTGGGTTGTCGGGTTTTGGTTTGGTTTTTTTTGTTGTTTGGTTTGTGGTTTGTTTATTGTTGGGTTTTTTGGTGGTGTTGGTTTTGTTTTGTCTGTTTGTTTGAAGAACTGTGGCGTCTCTAGAAGCCAACTTTTTTAATGTAGGTTTCTTCTGGATCATTGAATCATCTCTTTGGATACACAGTTACACCTAAAAATTATCCAAACTGATCAGGAAAGTTACCTGCAATTTGCACTGAGCCATCTTCTCCAAGAAGAATATTTCCTGCTTTCACATCCCTGCAGAAAGATAAAGCAACAATAAGTGGAAGTCATTAAACCTTTCCTTCAACCAACAGAAATACATTAAAAGGTTATTATTTCTTGCATTTTATTTCTTACATTAGCACCTCCTACTTCTAATCACACAGGAACAGGAGGGACTTAATCCCAAATGTAACTTCAGTAGACACACATTAAGTGGTATACATACAATTTAGAGCTAATAGCATTTTCAAGTATTGCGTACAGAAAAAAAAAAAAGATTTTCAAAGTTTATCTGGAGGTACCCTCAAAAATACAAGGACAGTGATTTGTCCCAGGTTCTTAAAAAAGCAAACAGAATCTAGCACAGGTCTGATACTCATGTACCCTTTTAGGGTGCAAGACTCCAAGAGACAGTGAGTTGATCCAGTCTCGCTGCCACTGGATGCATCTTGTTCTTCCCCAGCCCCAATTCTCACTGCTCTCCAGCCGTGGAGGAGTCCACCTGCTTCCTCAGGAACTGTGGCGTCTCTAGAAGCCAACTTTTTTAATGTAGGTTTCTTGTTGATCATTGAATCATCTCTTTGGATACACAGTTACACCTAAAAATTATCTAAACTGATCAGGAAAGTTACCTGCAATTTGCACTGAGCCATCTTCTCCAAGAAGAATATTTCCTGCTTTCACATCCCTGCAGAAAGATAAAGCAACAATAAGTGGAAGTCATTAAACCTTTCCTTCAACCAACAGAAATACATTAAAAGGTTATTATTTCTCGTATTTTATTTCTTACATTAGCACCTCCTACTTCTAATCACACAGGAACAGGAGGGACTTAATCCCAAATGTAACTTCAGTAGACACACATTAAGTGGTATACATACAATTTAGAGCTAATAGCATTTTCAAGTATTGCGTACAGAAAAAAAAAAAAGATTTTCAAAGTTTATCTGGAGGTACCCTCAAAAATACAAGGACAGTGATTTGTCCCAGGTTCTTAAAAAAGCAAACAGAATCTAGCACAGGACTGATACTCGTGTATCCTTTTGTGGTGCAAGACTCCAAGAGACAGCGAGTTGATCCAGTCTCGCTGCCACTGGATGCATCTTGTTCTTCCCCAGCCCCAATTCTCACTGCTCTCCAGCCGTGGAGGAGTCCACCTGCTTCCTCAGGAACTTAGTTCACCCCATACAGTGGTGAAAATCCACAGGAGAAAAAGTTTGTTTGCTCGTGGCTTAACAAATGAACCACATATTACCAATGGTCAGATGCACAGAGCTGGTACAAGAGAGATGGTGAGAATGGGAAAGTGGGGCCACTCAACTGTCCTGCGAAGTCTCAGCTTCAGTGAAAAAAGTCTCCCTGATTTTTTTTCGACCAAAGTCAACAAACACACAAGAACATCCAGCATGTGCTATGGAAGTTATTGTACTATCCTCTTTCTACTCGAAAAAAAAGCTCTGTTTGTTAACAGCAGCACTTCTCCATCTTCGAGTGGAATGCTATTTTCACTCCAAATACATGTCAAAGGAAGGGACCTTACAGATCATCAAGTTCCAACCCCCCTGCCATGGGCAAGGACACCTCCCACCAGACCAGGTTGCTCAAAGCCCCATCCAGCCTGACCTTGAACACCTCCAGGGATGGGGCAGCCACAGCTTCTCTGGGCAACCTGCTCCAGCACCTCACCACCCTGACAGGAAAGAATTTCTTCCTATTATCTAATCTAAATCTCCCCTCATGTTCACTCATGTCCACCAGTGTGGCTGCTAAGCTTGGCTAGGAAACCACGCAGACACTGTCTCAAGAAAGGCTGCAAGCAAAGCAACAGCCTGGGGAAGGGATGCCAGGAATTCACAACACACCTCATCTTAATGGCAACCACCTGCATGGAAGAGAAAAGAGACAAAAAGGAAAAGCAAAAAACCCAAACAAGCACATTCTCCCTCCACTGCCTTCTGTAAATATTCCAAATCCTTTCACACATTAAAAAAAAAAGTCAAAAGCTATTTTTTCTATCCTCCCTCGTGCATCATGAGAGCAGAACTGGCACGATGGCCTGGCCAAAGAGCCCTGGTTGGGCCCTGGAAATCTCCTCCTTCCTGGCTTTGCTCTTCTGAAGAAAAGCCTGGGGTGCTGCCAGTTCCAAGCCAGGATAATTTTAAACACATCCTCTCCAGCATTAGTATTTGTCAGATTCTTCCCAATACCCAGTCTGGGACTTTGGCATGGCTTTCCCCCAGCATACAGCAGAATAAAAGTGAACAAAGACTGTCCATAGACAGTCCCACCAAAGACTACTTTAACAGCAAACTGCAGCTGACAGCAGCCTTTAGCCTTCAAACAAGTATTTCAAGTCCTGCCAAACGTACACTTCTTGCTACCAGCGACCATCTTGGAGCCTAACGCTTCTTTGAGGCACAAATATAAGAGCAAGTACAGGAAAATACGAATTTGCTTTAATCACACAAGCACATGGGGTTGGAAGGGACCTCTGGAGATCACCTAGTCCAACCCCCTGCCAAAGCAGGTCCACCCGGAGCAGGTTGCACAGGAACGTGTCCAGGCAGGGTTTGGAATGTCTCCAGAGAAGGAGACTCCACCACCTCTCTGGGCAGCCTGTTCCAGGGCTCTGCCACCCTCAAAGTTAAGAAGTTCCTCCTCACGTTTAGATGGAGCTTCTTATGTTCAAGTTTGGGGCCGTTACCTCTTGTCCTGTCACTGAGTCCCCGAAGCAGACCACATTCAGCAATGAAGGAAGTGCTGGGGAAGTTTTTAAGCAGATCTAGGGATGAAGCCTCAGACATCGTGTGCTTCAGAGTCAAAACCAAACCTCAGGAAGGTTTCATTGATGTAACACCAACGGCCAGAAAGCAGCACCTGTTCAATACCACCAGACCATCCTACCATAACAGAGCAAGCTGGACAGGCTTGGAGCACAAAAAGTAGTGAAACAAGCACTTGGATTGAATCCCATGGGAAAAAAGAGCCAAAGGGCTCCAGTCCCTTAACCTCCTCCAATACAGAGGCTTGTTTTCTTTTTATCTTCAGCTTGGATTAATTAAAATTTACATATTTTCTCGTTAGAAACAAAAGTCAATAAATATGGTGCTCCAGGCTGGTTCAAGAAATTAAACCAAGTCGTTGCTACAATAAGATATCCAGGAGGCCAACAAGGGCCACTGCCAAATACCCGAGTTGGGCTGCAGAATTAAATCACCGCTTGATGTGGCATTTCCTCCCGGTGACCAACCCTCTGAGAAGGCCATTACTCACCCCAGCGTGGTATACTCCACCCCAGAGGAGCAGAACCGAGGAGCAGCAAGCTCTTTGGGGACACCCACTCCGTTTCAGAGCCACTGTACCATAGATACAACCTCCAGCTTTGCCGTTCCTCACCCCAGTGTATTGTCATCTCATCATCCACTGGGTGGACACCAGACAGCAATAACACTGGGTGAACACAGATCCCTTTCTTTAGCCTATACTGGTGTCACCGGCAACATCTTCAATTTAGGTCCTCCTTTAAAACCATCTTTAAGATTAATTGATTGCATTAAAGCAATGAGGCAGGGGAGAGAGGAACGGTGCCTTCCTGTTTATTCTCGCCAGGAGATGCTTATAAACTCACAAGCTGAATGGCAAGAAGGTTGTTACTCCAGGATATGGTTATTGCCAAGTATAACAATTTAAAGGTACTTCCTATTAATGTGGTAATGACCATATCCTGGCCTGATACGCTTGGAATAAATGGTGTGCCTCTGGCATAATTACTATACTGGAAACAGGAAGCAGCTTTAGGCTGTAGCGTAAACAGTAATTATATCACATTTTAAATGAAGTTACAGAAGGCTGGAGTAAACTCTTTCTTGCCAGCAGCTTAACAAATGCTACTGTAGATCTGGACATACCCGCTCCGTAGCTGTCACCTTCCTCTCTCCTAAAGCCTCCAAGAGCCCTTCCGCAAAACAACAATTATGTTTTTATTTACCTCGTACTTCACAACCAGAGTGGGAAGAGGGGTTTGGACCAGCTCCAGCACAAAGCTGGATTCTCCACATCAGCCCTGAAAGGTTTCGTAGCAAGGCAGATCCTCATCTGCATTCCAAACTGGTTCAGATCCCCAGTGCCACCAAACACTAACGTACCAGTTACATCATGTTAATGCCTCCAGGCTAGGGCTGGGTCGTAGGCATTGGATGCCATATAACCAAAACTGATCCCAAATCCAACTAGCATCCAGCTACAGGAGAGTTGGGAGCACGGGAAGGCAATAGGATTGATGCTCCCCAGTTAAGTGCAGTGTTCCCACATCCCCCACAATAAGTTTTTCAACTGGGGATGGGGATGCAGGAACTGGATCTTAATAACTTGTTCCCACTATAAAAAGCCTTAAAATCCAGCCAAATGATCAGATCTGCCCTCACCCATTGCCATCAACCCTTGGCACCGCCATACAGTGCTTGTCGCTGCAGTGACAACACGAGAGGAAAAAGCAGGACTTGCTGGTCCATAATGGGGAAGTGTTATCAAAAATCCAGCTGCAACTCCACAATCCTGGCATAAGCCATAAAACTTGGTATTACAGACTTAAAAGAACGGTGTTTGTAAGAAAAGCAATGAAGCATGTTAAGTTATTGCTTTTTAAACAAGCCTCTTAATATTGTTTGGAAATCAAAAAGGGTTCACTTGGCTTGTGTTCAGAAACCTACATTGGCAGGACAATTTAAAGCCACCGTGACTGTGATACAAGTGACCTGAGCAGAGTAGCATCCCAGGACTTCTACAGCCTAGGACTGAAGAAAACTGTCATAATAAGGGAGAAATGGAGATAAGCCTCATTTATTATGCCTTTGCTTCCAACCTGCTCGCATGGGCCTTTAGGATGCAATGCTGGCTGTCAGCAGAGCTGTGAGTCATCTGCCCATTAAATACAATTTATATCAACTGTAACAATAAATTTCCATGGACTGAACTCTATAGTGCATAACTTGGCATGAGGAAGGAGTGGTTGGTCCTGCCACGTTTCATTAAAAGGAAAAAAAAAGGGTGCAAGACTCAAGAATTACTATTTTCTGTTAATGGTAATGAATAACTGAAAATATTTTTACTGAATGCAACCAGTTGCTGGAGTTGACATTGTTCTGAGTAATTTGCAAAATTACTTCCAGGACAATATCTCAATTTACAGTTAAATATGAAGCAATTTGTGACACACACCAAATGAGCTTTACTCTCTATGCTCTCCCTTCAATGGCACGCTGTTACCTATGTCACCTCTCCCCTTTGCCTTACAAGCCAAGATATAAAAAACGGGTGATACACAAGAGCTTTACCATTTGAGACAGAGCTGCAAAATGGAAACTAGGCTTGGAGCAAGCAGAGTAGTATTTTTACACCCTCAAATGTCATCACGTTCAAGTGCAACGTAGGAGAAGGCATCAAGACAACTATCAGAAGTGCTGTACATTAGCATTCTCTCTATTTCTGCCCAGAAAAGCCCTTTATACTAACATTTTCATGCCAGAGGGTTGAGCTTTTAAGTCCCAAATGCAATTACTCAGTACAGTGCTGTACTTAACTCTGCAGAGCTGGACTCGGGAACATCTCCCAAAGCTTGAAGGTCTTCCAACAGCAGAGAGCTGGCACAGCAGCTTCCACGCTCCTCTCTCCAGCCTCCCTGCTGAGCCA